TGTCACTTTGTTACATTAACTAGTATTCCTTTCTTATGTGTAGATTCGCTGACCCTTGAAAAGCTTGATATGCAAGAGGACGTCCAGAAAGGTAGGTAAAAGGTTATTGTGTACACATATAATAGAACGGCATTGAACGTTTTGCTTAGAGAAATTTAACTTGCGCTTAACCTAAGTAAAAKGAAAATCATTGCAAAGATAAAAGAACGCTTTCGACCTAAGTGAAATTCTTTCAACATAATACGCTCTAATCTCATATTGTTTTCTTTTGTGTATAATTGACTATCATACTAGTCAAGGTTTGTTTGACGGGTCTTCACTGTACACGGACGACAAAGAAAGGCTTGCAAAATAAAGAGTAATAAAGTTTATAAGGCTAAAGAGTATTTTAAGAGTTAAAACTAACYATGTTATATATTTATCGTTTTTTTGCTTATAGATCCATCGCGCATAATGACCAAAACATGTCGCGTGTTTCTGACCCCCCAAATACTTTCCAGGAAAGTTTACAAATGCATGTATTGTTGCAATACTCGATGTGGACGCGGGTATTATGGACGTCTCAGAAGTGGTCAACGTGTCCTTTTCTGTCGGGTAAGTGGAGGGATTTGCACAAGGACTTGCAAGGAAATGAATAGGACAACGGCGAAAAAAGGACCTACCAAAGGACCCAGCCTACGCCCGCCACTAGCCACGACTCGACAACCACAACCAGGGACCACTCAACAGCCACAACCGGGCTCGACACAACAGCCAAAACCAGCCACGACTCAACAGCCTGAACCAGAGACYAATCCACCACCCACTCAAGTCAACGGAACCAAGTTCTTGAAAAAAGAAAATCTCTTTGATGGGCTCTTTGATTGACGGGATTTCTTAAGTACGTAGTTTCTCAAGCATCAAATTTAAACTTTGTGAACTTGTAGTCTTTATCAAAATGAYTCGAACAGGAAAATAAATGCATTTAAAATTGAAATTCAATTGCATTTGAAATCAGTCTTTTCTCCGTKTGTCAGTATAATTAAAGGTCTACATGCATCCAAAGATCTTCGTGCGATTTTTTCACATGGGACTAAAATTTGTCCTTTTTGATCTTGAAGGAATCTGAAAGCAGCTTTCAACAAGAGACTTTGGATGCTTGTGGCCCTTCAACATCGTGATAGTATGTCGACCAGATTTTTTTTTCAATCCTTCGACAGCAAAACACACCGGAAACCTGCGACCTGTGAGTTTTAAATGAATATTGAATTTAAATGCGCAGATTTCTTCCAGTTTCTTTGGATATTTTTTATTTGGGAAATATATTRACCTTTTTTATACAGTTAATAATTATACTTTTTTGTGTACGTGTATTTATCATATCTACACCCACTGGATGTGATCCATATCGTTTTCTGATTGGATACTTTGTTTAAAATATGTCAGAGTCAAAAAAGTTTACGTAATCGATGACCGAAAAGGAGCATTGGAAGACAAATGATTACTTGACGCAATTTSGATTTGTCTTCATCAACCCGTGAAATACRCTTTAGAGGTCTKMTGTTTGGCTCGTTTTATTTCATCTTTTTCAAAGAGGGTCTATTCGATGAGAATATCGAAAATTAGCGATTATAGTAAATCGTCGATTTTTTTAGCGAGGTTAACAGGGAAAAATGGTAAAAAATAGCGGTTTTGCGATATGACAACCCCAAATATTAGGTCCGCTTTCAAGGCAGAAGCAAAGTATTTGCGTAGTTTCACTGGTGGTTTTAATGTCTTTCCTCATCATCCAGTGGATATGTACATAATAAAACAATTATTCCAGATATGACATTGGTAGTTACCTTCAGAA